CCCCTAGTCCAAAATTGAAAATGTATTTCTTACTTGGTTCTTTGCTCAAAAAAATTTTAAGTTGTTATTTGGATTTATTTTAAGCACTAGAATCTTTATGCAAAGTTTCAATCCATTTGGATAAAACTTCGAAAAAAAAAATGAAAAGCTAGATTTTGACTAGACCTGTCCCAAGTTCATAATTGAAAATGTATTTCCTTCTTGGTTCTTTGCTCAAAAAAATTTTAGGATGTTTTCTTTGTATTTGTTTTAAGCATTAGAATATTTATAAAAAGTTTCAATCCATTTGTATAAACCTTCGAAGAAAAAAGTGACAAAATTGATTTTGACTAGGGTCGCCCCTAGTCCAAAATTGAAAATGTATTTCCTTCTTGGTTCTTTGCTCAAAAAAATTTTAGGATGTTTTATTTGTATTTGTTTTAAGCACTTGAATATTTATAAAAAGTTTCAATCCATTTGGAAAAACCTTCGAAGAAAAAAGTGACACAATTGATTTTGACTAGGGTCGCCCCTAGTCCAAAATTGAAAATGTATTTCCTTCTTGGTTCTTTGCTCAAAAAAATTTTAGGATGTTTTATTTGTATTTGTTTAAAGCATTAGAATATTTATAAAAAGTTTCAATCCATTTGGAAAAACCCTCAAAGAAAAAAGTGACACAATTGATTTTGACTAGGGTCGCCCCTAGTCCAAAATTGAAAATGTATTTCCTTCTTGGTTCCTTGCTCAAAAAAATTTTAGGATGATTTATTTGTATTTGTTTTAAGCACTCGAATATTTATACAAAGTTTTAATCCATTTGTATAAACCCTCGAAGAAAAAAGTGACAAAATTGATTTTGACTAGGGTCGCCCCTAGTCCAAAATTGAAAATGTATTTCCTTCTTGGTTCTTTGCTCAAAAAAATTTTCGGATGTTTGATTTGTATTTGTTTTATGCACTGGAATATTTATGCAAAGTTTTAATCCATTTGTATAAACCCTCGAAGAAAAAAGTGACAAAATTGATTTTGACTAGGGTCGCCCCTAGTCCAAAATTGAAAATGTATTTCTTACTTGGTTCTTTGCTCAAAAAAATTTTAAGTTGTTATTTGTATTTATTTTAAGCACTAGAATCTTTATGCAAAGTTTCAATCCATTTGGATAAAACTTCGAAAAAAAAAATGAAAAGCTAGATTTTGACTAGACCTGTCCCAAGTTCATAATTGAAAATGTATTTCCTACTTTGTACTTTGCTCAAAAAAATTTTAGGATGTTTTATTTGTATTTGTTTAAAGCATTAGAATATTTATAAAAAGTTTCAATCCATTTGGAAAAACCCTCGAAGAAAAAAGTGACACAATTGATTTTGACTAGGGTCGCCCCTAGTCCAAAATTGAAAATGTATTTCCTTCTTGGTTCTTTGCTCAAAAAAATTTTAGGATGTTTTCTTTGTATTTGTTTTAAGCATTAGAATATTTATGCAAAGTTTCAATCCATTTGTATAAACCCTCGAAGAAAAAAGTGACAAAATTGATTTTGACTAGGGTCGCCCCTAGTCCAAAATTGAAAATGTATTTCCTTCTTGGTTCTTTGCTCAAAAACATTTTAGGATGTATTCTTTGTATTTGTTTTAAGCATTAGAATATTTATGCAAAGTTTCAATCCATTTGTATAAACCCTCGAAGAAAAAAGTGACAAAATTGATTTTGACTAGGGTCGCCCCTAGTCCAAAATTGAAAATGTATTTCCTTCTTGGTTGTTTGCTCAAAAAAATTTTAGGATGTTTTATTTGTATTTGTTTAATGCATTAGAATATTTATGCATAGTTTCAATCCATTTGTATAAACCCCCGAAGAAAAAAGTGACAAAATTGATTTTGACTAGGGTCGCCCCTAGTCCAAAATTGAAAATGTATTTCCTTCTTGGTTCTTTGCTCAAAAAAATTTTAGGATGTTTAATTTGTATTTGTTTAAAGCATTAGAATATTTATAAAAAGTTTCAATCCATTTGTATAAACCATCGAAGAAAAAAGTGACACAATTGATTTTGACTAGGGTCGCCCCTAGTCCAAAATTGAAAATGTATTTCCTTCTTGGTTCTTTGCTCAAAAAATTTTTAGGATGTTTTATTTGTATTTGTTTTAAGCATTAGAATATTTATAAAAAGTTTCAATCCATTTGTATAAACCATCGAAGAAAAAAGTGACAAAATTGATTTTGACTAGGGTCGCCCCTAGTCCAAAATTGAAAATGTATTTCCTACTTGGTTCTTTGCTCAAAAAAATTTTAGGATGTTTTATTTGTATTTGTTTTAAGCATTAGAATATTTATACAAAGTTTCAATCCATTTGGAAAAACCCTCGAAGAAAAAAGTGACAAAATTGATTTTGACTAGGGTCGCCCCTAGTCCAAAATTGAAAATGTATTTCCTTCTTGGTTCTTTGCTCAAAAAATTTTTAGGATGTTTTATTTGTATTTGTTTTAAGCATTAGAATATTTATAAAAAGTTTCAATCCATTTGTATAAACCCTCGAAGAAAAAAGTGACAAAATTGATTTAGACTAGGGTCGCCCCTAGTCCAAAATTGAAAATGTATTTCCTACTTGGTTCTTTGCTCAAAAAAATTTTAGGATGTTTTATTTGTATTTGTTTTAAGCATTAGAATATTTATACAAAGTTTCAATCCATTTGGAAAAACCCTCGAAGAAAAAAGTGACAAAATTGATTTTGACTAGGGTCGCCCCTAGTCCAAAATTGAAAATGTATTTCCTTCTTGGTTCTTTGCTCAAAAACATTTTAGGATGTATTCTTTGTATTTGTTTTAAGCATTAGAATATTTATGCAAAGTTTCAATCCATTTGTATAAACCCTCGAAGAAAAAAGTGACAAAATTGATTTTGACTAGGGTCGCCCCTAGTCCAAAATTGAAAATGTATTTCCTTCTTGGTTGTTTGCTCAAAAAAATTTTAGGATGTTTTATTTGTATTTGTTTTAAGCACTTGCATATTTATAAAAAGTTTCAATCCATTTGTATAAACCCTCGAAGAAAAAAGTGACAAAATTGATTTTGACTAGGGTCGCCCCTAGTCCAAAATTGAAAATGTATTTCCTACTTGGTTCTTTGCTCAAAAAATTTTAGGATGTTCTATTTGTATTTGTTTAATGCATTAGAATATTTATGCAAAGTTTCAATCCATTTGTATAAACCCCCGAAGAAAAAAGTGACAAAATTGATTTTGACTAGGGTCGCCCCTAGTCCAAAATTGAAAATGTATTTCCTTCTTGGTTCTTTGCTCAAAAAATTTTTAGGATGTTTTATTTGTATTTGTTTTAAGCATTAGAATATTTATAAAAAGTTTCAATCCATTTGTATAAACCCTCGAAGAAAAAAGTGACAAAATTGATTTTGACTAGGGTCGCCCCTAGTCCAAAATTGAAAATGTATTTCCTACTTGGTTCTTTGCTCAAAAAATTTTTAGGATGTTTTATTTGTGTTTGTTTTAAGCATTAGAATATTTTTAAAAAGTTTCAATCCATTTGTATAAACCCTCGAAGAAAAAAGTGACAAAAAAGTTGAAAATGTATTTCCTACTTGGTTCTTTGCTCAAAAAAATTTTAGGATGTTTTATTGAGCTATTTTTAGGATTTGTTTTAAGCACTTGAATATTTATAAAAAGTTTCAATTCATTTGTATAAACCCTCGAAGAAAATAATGACAAAATTGATTTTGACTAGGGTCGCCCCTAGTCCAAAATTGAAAATGTATTTCCTTCTTGGTTCTTTGCTCAAAAAAATTTTAGGATGTTTTATTTGTGTTTGTTTTAAGCATTAGAATATTTATAAAAAGTTTCAATCCAGCTGGAAAAACCCTCGAAGAAAAAAATGACAAAATTGATTTTGACTAGGGTCGCCCCTAGTCCAAATAAGTGTGAAGTATGGCCGAGATTTAAACTGGTTCATAGTGTTCCCGAGGGTGACAAAATTTAAACTAATTGTTTTTGTAGCTGACATAATTCTGACATAAATTAGGTATAACTTTTGAACTGTGTCGATATGGGTCTCGGCCTTATTTCACGTCCACCCTTCAAACTTATGCTGAGCAAATCTTGGTCTATCCAATAAGACTTTTGATGGTACGGTGTGAATATATCCGCAATGGGTTTCTACCCGATACACTAGTTACCTATGCTGGTTGCGCTTTTGTAGGCTTTTTGATGGACATAAAGAGCTCTAACCTTTTTCAGGATACATATGCTTACATTCTGTTTTCGGTTATTGCTAGTTTAGATCAATACCTTTAAAATGATGTATAATACTTGTATGAAAGTTCATTATAGCTGCTTCTGGAGTAAATTGATTGTGACCGACGCAAGCTTAACTTTAACAAAATAGCCAAAAACCAAAATTTATCAAACAAAAATATTTTAAACTGACTTATTTCGCTAAAATTATGTATAAATATGAAATATTAACTGATAAGCATCCAAGAAATAGTGTAATACTTGGGAATTTTTGACCCAATAAAGACTACTTGTACGTACTTAAACAAGCTACCTGAGATAGCCAAAAGTTTATAAAATACAATTTTTTTCGTGATTTTTTTTTTAAGACAGACGACAGTTTGAACGTTACATACTTCTTGGCACCCCCCCCCCCCCCCACCAAATGCGAACGTAATAAGTGAACGGCCCCTACTATTCATTTTGGGATCGGGAAAATTCTTATGATTTTCAATTGGTCATCCTTGCGCAAGCAAAAAATATATATGGTAAATTTTATAATTTTGATTCATCAATTAATTATTAATCTACTAAACGATATGATCAATTTTTCGATTACAAAGGCAAGAAAGTAAAATTTTATTTTATTTTAGATTTGAGGTTTTGAATTTTGAAGATTTTTTTTAAAAAAACTTGGAAAGTTCTTATGTGAAACCACAATTTATTATAAAAATTTCAATTAAAACAATTGAGACTTGATATAAAGACAAATATCTGAAAAAACAAAAAGAAAAGAATTTTTTTTTATTAGTTTCCTTTATTTTCTTAAGCAAGTCTTCACAGTGGTCGTCGTTTTCAATTACAATTAAAATTAATTTTAATATTAATATATTTACAATCAATACTTATAATTCGATATATATAAGTAATTAAGTAGTATGTATTATAAATTTTGTAGAGAAAGTGTTACTGAGATTTGTAAGTAAATGATTTTTTTCTTTTATCTTTTGTCGTTTTTCTTCTTCAGTTATAATAATAATACTCTCGTATATTCTATGTTACATATCACAAGCTGATACTGATAATTATATGACGACAATGAATGTTAACGTATGCGAAAATGTAAACTTATATCCTAATTTTTATTCATCATAAAAGTCGACTAGTATCGGCCACTGGAGGAGTTGAATCTTTTAATATCTCAAATTTATCTATTAGTCTTTTTTATTAAGTTTTTTTCTTCTTTTATTCGTTTTGTAGATAAATTTGAGATCTTGTTGGTTTATTAAACTTATGATAAATAGTCTGGTATTGGCTCTGAAGCATTCATTGAGTTTTCAGTTGTAAATATTGGATTAGGAATCTGCAACAAAAAAAAAATGTATTTTTAGTAAGAAATCCTTTCTTTATATTATAAAAGCATAATTCATACTTCTGCTGGATGACTAAGTGGACCAGTAGTTTTGGGTTTTCGTCTGTAAGCCATAAGCCAACATGATACAGCTATTGCAACAGCTACAAGAGCTAGAAGGGCAGTGATTATAAGTGCAATGATTAATCCTATCATGGATACACAAATATCTTCTACTCGCTGTGCGGCAGGTTTAACTGTAATTAATATAAAACGTTAGGTATTTAACAATTGATTATTTAATTTACTCAAACTTACTTCCATCTGAACTGCTGTAACGACCATCTCTCTTTTCAAATGTTAAAATAGCATTTGATGAGATTGTAATTTCTTCTCTCAATGTTCCTTCCATGCCAACATCGTCGTTATTTGATCGTGTCGATATCGATTGATTTTCTTTCTGAGATTCATTGTTAGTAATTTCTCTACGTTTTCTTCTGCCAAAAGCATTGTATCCTCTACAATTAACTGGTTGACACTTTCCAAAGCAAACACGAATGTTACATTGGAAGCGAATATTATCACTCGAAGGGAATTTAAATGCATTAAAACGAGCCATTAGCGTATTACTATCGGCATTATATTCCCATTCGCCAAATATACTTGGATCAGTTGCACATCCGTTTTCATCAGTCACAATATACTCATTTTCTACATTTTCTTCCATAGTTTTTGCCACACACGTTCGAGCAAAACCACCATAAATTGCTGAAATTTTTTTTATTGAAAATTAAAAATATAAAATTGCAATTATGCTGTTTATTCTTACTTGCTGGTTGAACTTCAACTTGTAGCATCAAATTATCACCTATTTCGGCTGAGTTGATTTCATTTCCATTTGAATGAACAATTCTCATAGTACATTGAGGTGGTGGACCTGTGTTGGCAATGGTACCTGCTGTAGTTAACATTTGGACATTAAAACCTAAGGTCACATTTTGTTCTCCGGTTTGATAGACACATCTTATATGATAAGCTTGTGCTTTAAATGTTACTAATTTAGGATGTTTCTGAATAACTAAAACAAAACTGGCTAAACCATTAATATGGAATAATCCACAACTTCCAAAGTGTACTTTAAATGTTTCTACTCTTGGTGTATTATCATCGGCAAGTGATATCACTCGACGGCACTCTTCTTCTTTACTATGTCCTTTGACATAAAGTACACCATTAAAACCAGTTTCAATCAAATCAATTTGTACTAGTACGCCATCAGCTAAACATTTAACCATTAATGCTGGTCTTGGGAAATCTGATCGATTTTTGTGTGTATCATCATCTAGTGATTAATTTAAAAAAAATTAATTTAAACTTTCTAAGAACAATTCTAATTGACTTACTGCAACGAACATCTGGATCTCCGATGTAACCAGCTATGCAGTCACATTTAGCAGCTGAAATTATGGCAAAATTTTAATAATTAGATTTGCAATTAAGTTTTAAAAAATATATAAGGAATATTACCGTGATTGGTTGCATTACAGAAAGCGTTAACACCACATTTATAATTAAGACACGGATCTTCACATGTCTTTGTAGATTGTTCACAATATCTATTATCAGGACAATCCTCATTACGCTCGCATTCTGGTGTTTGGACTGGTACACATTCTCCGTTTATTGTTAATTGATATCCATGATCTTCAGGACAAATACAATTTCCTCTTTCATCTATGATCATTCCTCGTTCAAGTGCGCAAATACAGTGATCATTTTCTATTTTGTATCCCTTCTGAGTTTCACATATCACACATTCTCCATAAATATTAAGAGCTGTTCCTGGTAAGCAAATGCATTGTCCACGTTCATTTAATATTCTGTCTGGTGGACATATAATTTCTATAACGATAATAAAATACATGCTTAATTATTGTATTAAATAAAGTCATTTTTAACTTACGTCTGTCACATTGAATTGCTGCATTTCCTTGGTAACCTGGTAAGCACTCGCAAATCACTGAAATTTTTCAAAATCACGTTAATAATTTTAACTTTAATTAATTTGTATTAAATATTGAACTTACTGGTTCGAACTGGGAGAGAATCAATGACCTTGCAAACTGCATTGACACCACAAGGTTCAAGTGATTCACAAGGATTCAAACATTGTCCGCCTATACAAGCTGTTTGTGCAGGACAATCACCATCATAGTGGCATATTTCTTCTCTTAGTATGCATCCTTTTTCGTTATCAAAAGTGAATCCATTATCGCATGTGCATTCTGAATTGAGTTTAATAATTATTTATCACCGATTATGTTTAATTCCAAAATATGTCAAAATTACCTGGTCTGTGATTGAATACAGTACAAATTTCATTCAATGCACACTTAGCTGTTTTCTCGCATGGATTAACGCATAAATGGTTTATGCAAGCTTTACTTGTTGGACATTCCGAGTCTGATTTGCATTCAACACGAACACATGATGTAGATGGATCCCCAGTGAATCCAGGTTCACATAGACATGCTAAACGACATTAAACGATTAAAGTAGTTAAATGTCTAAATCATAAGTTTTTATAATAGAAAAAAAAACTTACATGCTTTATGATTGAATCCAATGCATTCAGCATTTCGTTCTGCACAAGTATCTTGTTTACAAACAGGGCTGCATTGTCTATTGATGCATTCATATTGAGATGCACATTCGCTGTTTGAAAGACAACCGATCTTAACGCAACCAATTTCTGGATTTCCTTCATATCCTTGTTTACATGTGCATACTGGTTTGTGTCCTTTAACACGACATTCTGCATTGGGTCCACAGTTACATGGCTCACGACATAGATTATTTATGCAAGACTTCTCAGGTGCGCAATCAGAATCAGCCACACAACCTATAATTTTTGTGTCAATTGGTTTACAGGTTCCGCTTCCACTGCTTATATATCCTTCTGGGCATATGCAAAGAATAGTTCTTACTGGAATAGTTGCAAGAGCTTGACATTTTGATGGATTTACACATGGATTAAGTTCTAAACATGGTTCTTTACAATGTCCATCAATACAAGCTAGCGTTGATTCACAATCAACATCATACAAACACTCAGGTCGTGGTTCATCAAGTTTGCAAACCACATATGGATTTCCATTAAGACCTGGATTACATTTACATAACCCATTATGATTTTGTGCTATACAAACAGCTCCTTGACCGCAATGTGTTCTATCGTAATGACAAGGATTCAAACAAACTCCATTCAATTGATCACAGAATTTATCTGATGGACAGTCATCGTTGCTTAAGCATTCAATAGCTTGACATCCTTTGAATGGATCTCCTCTGAAACCATTTGCACATCGACATTCAGGTTTATGATTTTGCGAATAACACTCTGCGTTTGAAGCACATGGATCATTAGTCAAACATGGATTTATGCAATTTGAATTTATGCAAGCCTTATCATGGTCACATTCTAAATCACTGCGACATCCAATAGTCAAACATCTTGTATTCGGATTTCCTTCATAGCCTTCTTTGCAACTGCAAATTGGCTTATGCCTTTGTACGTGACAAAAACTGTTTTCTCCACAATTGCATGGATTTCTACAAGTTCCAGATACGCAAGCTTGAGAGTCTGTACATTCATCATCACTTCTACATCCCTCGGGAACAGGTTTTATTCTCTTACATTCTCCATTTTCACCTGGTATCAGTTTCTCAGGACATGAACAAATCATTGTACGAACTGGCAATGTATCATGAACTGAGCATATTGAAGAATTAGAGCATGGTTTTAAAGCTTCACATGGATTGACACAATGGTTGTTAATACATGCTCTCTGATTTGGACACTCTCCGTCATATTCACATTCAACAGGGTCTTTTATTTCTTTTGGATAGCAATATGTGTATGGGCTTCCTTCAGATAAATAGTCAGGGCAATGACAGCCTGCCAAATGATTTTGTGCTGTACATATAGCGTTTGATGCACATGGATTCTTTTCTCGGCAAATGTTGATACAACGTTTATTTTGACATTCATGATCATAAGGACAATCTGTATTTGAATAGCATTCTGCACGCTCACATCGTTCAAATGGATTTCCTTCAAGTCCAGGTAAACATTTGCATGCTATTTTTAAAATTCAAAAAAAAAAAAATTTAAAAAAGCTATGTCATGCACCAAATTGTTTTGAAACTCACCTGCTCTGTGATTACTTCCATAACATGTAGCTGACAATGAGCATGGGTCATTTATCAAGCAAGGATTTATACATTTTTCGTTATTATAACATGTCAGATCATTTGAACATTCATCATCACTTGCACAACCAATCTTCTTGCAACCAGAAATCGGATTTCCAATAAATCCAGATTTACAACGACACACTGGAATATGATCTTTAACAAGGCAATCACTGTTTTTATCGCAATTGCAAGGACTAACGCATTGTTCATTTATGCAAGATTCATTAGGGCTACAGTCTGTGACAGATTTGCATCCTATTTTTGGTTTATCTACTGGTGAGCATAGAATATTTGGATTTCCATTGAATTTTTCAGGGCACCGACAATAAACTTGGTGTTCTATAAGTTAAAATTAAATATGTATGATTAATAAACTTGGTTTAGTAATTTCATTTAAACATTAAACTTACGTTCTACGTAGCAGAATGCTCCAACACCACACGCGTTTTTGTTTTGGCATGGATTGGTACATTTGCCATTATTGCATATACGATCACTTGGGCATTCTTCATGGCTATAGCATTCATAAATGGGCTCGTCAATAACGCGGTATGAACATTCAACATAAGGATTTCCATCATATTTGGGCGGACAGCTGCAAATTGCTTTATGATTTTGTGATAAGCATTGTGCATTAATACCACAATTTTGATCTTTGCACGCTAAAATACAATTTCCATTTTTGCAAACATCGCTATTTGGACAATCATGATCATTTGAACATTGTGGTTCTCGAATTATTTTTACACAGTTTCCATTAACATCGCTTACTGTATCTGGAGGACATTTGCATACCATTGTTCTAAGAGGAATTGTATCTAAGACTGAACATGTTTGATCGCGGGAACATATATTTCGTTGTTCCGTACAAGGGTTTTGACATTTTTCAGAAATACAAGCTAATTGAGATGGACATTCAACATCGTTTGCACATTCTGGTCTACGTGATGGTGTTTTTTCTTCTAAGCATTCAACATATGGATTTCCTCTTGTTTTATGATTACATTGACATTTTGCAGCTGAAAAATATTAAGTTTAGCCAACATTTGCTGAATTGTATATTTTAAATTATTTAAATACCATGGTTGATTCCTTCGCAAAAAGCATTTAGTCCACACGAATTCTTGTTACAAACTGGTCGACAGATATGATTTAATCGATCACAAGTTTCATGATCAGCGCAATCTTCATTGTATTGACATAAGCCACTGATACAACTTATCATTGCATCACCTTGTGTTCCCTTTGGACATTCGCAAGAGGCTCTGTGATGATGAACGATACATTCAGCTCCACGTCCGCATTTTACGGTGCCGTAACTACATGGATTAACACAGTGTGATGATATACAAGCTTTATCATAAGGACAGTCTGGATCAGTAATGCATTCAGCTATAATAAAAAGTCAAACGATGAATTCTAATATTTCTTAATGTTCTAAATTGAACACTTACGTTTATAACATCTTTCATGAGGATCTCCAGCCCAAGATGGTGGACATGTACAAACTATAAATTTAATTGTTTTTAGAAAATAAAATTATTTAATTATTTATGACAAGGAAATATATTTGATTTTTTTAATTTTTTCTTACTTGCACGATGATAATTTGTGTTACATTCAGCGTTTATACCACAAACTCCTAAACAAGCATCTTGACATCTTTCAGATATACATGCTTTGTTTAAAGGACAATCTGAGTTCATTTGACATTCAGGTTTTGGTTGGGGTGGTTCTTGCTGTATACATCGAACGAATGGATCTCCAATAAGACCAGGTTTACATCTACATTCAGCACGATGATTGCGAGCTAAACATTCTGCAGTTGATGCACATGGATTGTATTCTTGTGAACATGCGTTTTTACATTTTCCACTTCGGCAAATATCTGTATCTCTGCATTCAGCATCTGATTGACATTCAGTTTTAGGTGCTGTATAATGTTAAAAATATAATATTATTATTTGAATTCAAGGAGCAGTTAAAAATGTATAAAATAAGCTAAGGAATTGTAAAGGTGAAACTGGGTGAAACAATGAAGTGAAATTAAATACAATCGAATTATTAAAACTATTTACAAATATAGAAAAATATACAAAAATCATAAGCTGAAAAAAATGCCTGAATTTTGATTCTATTATCGAAACCAAAAGTTCATAAAAAATTAAAAAATAAAAACAAGCTAACGTACGTTTTTTGCATTCAATTTCCGCATTTCCTTCGTATCCCTGTAAGCATTCACAGACCTATAAAAATATAATTATTTTTTATCAGCTCTTTACAAAAAAGAAAAAACTATCACAATTACCATAGTTCTAACAGGAAGTGAATTTTCGACCTTGCATCTAGCATTTATTCCACATGGCTTGATTTCATCACATGCATTTTTGCAATTACCATCTTCAAAGCATGCATAATTACTTGGACACTCTGCATCAGATGTACATCCTGGATCTCTATACTTTTCTTGAACACATGATTTGAATGGATCTTAAATAAATGAAATATAAATAATTTTTAAATTAAAGTGAAATTAATAAATGGGAATAGATGTATTAAAAAATTTAAACTGACCTCCTGTGTATCCTGGTGGACATGTACAAACTGAATTGTGATTATTGACTTTACATTCAGCCCCAATACCACAAGTTTTTGATGAGCATGGTGACACACATCTGTTATTTACACAAGATAAATCGGATGGACAATCATCGTTCTTTTTACATTCTGGATATTCACATTTTTGGTTTGGATTTCCATAAAAACCATCATAACAATGGCATCTAGATCTATGGTTTTCTGTTTTACAAATAGCATTTTCACCGCACCGAATATTTCTACATTGATCTATACAATCTCGGTTAATACATGCTTCTGTTGTCGAACAATCGTTGTCAGATCGACAGCCTATTTCATAGCATCCAACAAATGCATTTCCTGTTAATCCTTCCGGGCACACGCATGTACTTCGATGATCTAAAGTAATATTAAAAAGTTACTGTAAATTATAGTTAATGACAAAAAATAAGTCTTACTATTAGCGTAGCATTTTGCGTTGTTTCCGCAATTGTTAAGTGAGCATGGATCCACACATTTATTATTGATACATGTTTTAGAAGTTTTACATTCATCATCAGAAACACATTCAGGTTTAGGTGGTGGAATAACATCTCGTACATAGCATCTAACGAAAGGTGTTCCCATAAATCCTCTCGGACATGAGCAAACTGCTTTGTGATTTATAACGTTACATAAAGCGTTTTCTCCGCAAGCATTAGTACATGGATCACCACAATACATTTGATTAAAGCAGGCTTTGTTTGATGGACAATCCTCATTTTGGACACACTCGGGATAGTGACATACCGCTTTTTCATTATTCACTACTCTGCAAATTCCGTTTTGCTTACAAGGTGATGGATAACATGGATCTTTTGATTCTAATACTGGCGTACAACCAACGAATGGATTACCAATCATTTTGTCTGGACATGTGCAGAATGGATTATGATTGATAACATCGCACCTAAAATATAGACGTTAATATAAATTAAAAAATTAAATTAGTATATATCTACCTTGCATTATATCCACATACATTGATACAAGGATCAATGCAATGATAATTTGAACATGATTTGGATAATGGACAGTCGGCATTTACTGTACATTCTGGTTTACATCCTGATCCATATGCATTTCCGAAATATCCATGATTACACTCACAAACGAATGAATTTCCTGATCGTCTACAGATTGAGTTGATTCCACAAGGATTTGGATTACAAATATCTTTTTCAACAGGTTCTTTGTAAATCGGTATTGCATAACAATTAGTATAAGGATCGCCTGTTAAACCGTCACTACATTGACAATTGACAATATGATTTAAAACTCTGCACTCAGCATCTAATGCACATGTCTTTCGAGTACATGGATTTTTACATTTATGATTTTCACATGTCATATGGCTAGGACAGTCAGTGTTGATAAGGCACTCTGGTCTACAACCAGCATATGGGTCACCATAGTAATCTTCGATGCAAACACAAGAGGCATAGGAACCACGGTCAGATATTTTGCAATGTGTATTGCTTCCTAGACAAAGAAAATTAAAAAAAATATTATAGTAAGAATAAAAAATATTGTAATGCATTTTTTTTACAGAATGACAAAATAACTTCGATAACAACAAGCTACTAATTAACTCTTCCCAACAAAATTTATTCGGAACATAACTGTTGCCCACATCCAAAACACAAAACAGCGTCCTGCTCAACATCATTTTTAATAACTTGCTTCGGAATAGCGATGTTTTATTAAAATCTCATCATCCTCAGTTAATTTATTAATTGCAAAAACTCAACTATTGACGTATCTAAGAATCCTATACTCTGATAACTTGACTATGCTGGATGGACAAATGTCGATAAAAGGTGTTGTAATGTTTTTTTTTGTCACTGAATTCCAAGTCAGTCGAATAGTCCACTACGCTTATGTCTGTCGATGATGCTGTGGACATTTCATTTCTACTGAATTTTCTACTGTTTTCAATTAGTCATCTAGAGTCTTTTACTGGACTTTCTTTCTCTTAAGCAACGAAACTTTATGAACCTCCCAAACAAAAGGGAGTCTTTATAAAAGCACATATATTTTTTATAAAATACTCTTTTTTTGGACAATCCTCCTTCTTAAGGAAGCAGCTTGCTGTACTTAGGACCGAATTTAGCATTAAACTTTACATCTAGCGTCTGCAAATTTTGTTATTTTGGATTAGGAAATTTTTCGAAGAATATTAAATTATTTACATATCTTTTTAAAAGTGAGTATATGTAATATTTGAAAAAATCAGGGGGGGGGGGGGGGCAGAACAAAAATTGCTAAGAAAAAAAACCTAAAAATATTTACTGTGATGAAATTTCCAAGGACTCCACAAACGAAATTGAAAAAGTCAAATTTAAAGGAACTGAAGCATCCAAGTAAAAATTTTTAGATATCAAAAGGTCTTAAATCATGATTCTCATCAGTTCCAATCAAAATTTTGATTATAAACTGCATCGGAAGGAAGTATTGCGAAAATTTCATTTTTCGACAATTTTTGTTCCAATACAAAATGGAGTACTAGGAAATTTCATCACAGTAAACATTTTTGCATTATTTTTCTCAACAATTTTTGCTCTGGAAAAAATTTAGAGTTTTAAGAAGAAGAAGTAATTTATTTTCAGTTTTAGTTCCAGAAAATTTGGTTGTCATTATAGGAAGATTAGTATGTGGATCCAAAAGCTATTTGGGTTTTATACTCAGAAATTTTAATCCTATGTTAATTGTTATGTGTGGAAATTTAAACTTACCGCATGGTGAAGGTGTGCAAGGATCTTTTGGTTGAACTGGTTCTAAATGTACAAAAAAATGTCAGATAATATTTTTAAAAAAATATTAAAGTAAAACATTAGTTGATCGAGAATAAACATAATTTGATAAATTATATGTGATAACAGCATTTAAAAAACATTCATTAATTCCGAAATAAGAAGTATTAAATATAATTGATTATCAATTTTTGCAAAATTTCAAAAAAGAAACAAAAGTCTTAGACTTTTCCAATCTCGAAAAGACAGAAGAAAATCAGAAAAAAAATAAAATGTTCTGAAAATATGATGCAAAACTAATACCTCTTAAATATTCACAGCTATAAAAAGGATCTCCAAAAAAGTCATCAATACATGTACAAACAGGATTATGATTAATAACAGAACATCTATAAATTGTGAAAGTGAAATGTGAATACAAAATTTACAACAGAAGCTCATTAATTTACTTAGCGTTTAATCCACATGCATTGATGCATGGATCGCCACATTTTTTGTTCATACATGCAAGCAAATTTGGACAATCGGAGTTAACTAGACATTCGGGACGGCAGTTTGGTGGTACTGAGATAAAAAGTAAGTCATAATAATGAAAAAAATTTAAGATGAGATCCAATCGAAAAAACAAAACAAAAAACTCTTACCACCAAGATAACCTTCTAAACATGAACAAGCAGGAGAATCTGAGATTTGCCTGCAAATACTATTAGGGCCACATGGATTTGGAGAACATGGTGCTTTTGGAATAGTTGGTTCATCATCTCGTATAATTTCACATTTAATAAATGGATCTCCATTATACCCTGGTAAACAGGTACATATTGGAGAATGTGATTTGACTTGACAACGTGCATTGATTCCACAAACTCCTGGACCACAAGGATCTACGCATTTATTGTTTTTACATGCTTTGGACATTTCACATTCTGGGCTAATCACACACTCTGGGCGACATAATGGAGGAGAACCAATCATATTTTGTAAACATGAGCAAATTGGTTGACCATTTGGTCCTTCCTTGCATTGCGAATTTTGACCACATTTTGAAGGGTAACATGGATTTTGAGGAACAGGCCTATCTTGAACACGACATTGAGTGAATGGATCACCTTTTTTGGAAACAAAAGATTTTTTTTTAAAAATAACTCATTGATTTAAACTCATAAACCAAAAGTATTTACCAATCATATTATCTGGACAGTTACAGTTTGGAACATGATTATGAACAGTGCAAATTGCATTTGGAGCGCAAATATTATTTATGCAAGGATCAACACAATGGTTTCTAACACATGCCTTATTTGATGGACATTCAGCACTCAAAGTACACTCAGGTCTACATTGGACGTAAGGATCTCCAATATAATCATCATTACAGTAGCAATTTCCATTATTGCAAACAGCATTTCTTCCGCATGGACTTGGATTACACGGATCTTTAGGTAAGTCTTCGATTATTCTATTGCAAGATTCAAAAGCATTGCCTGTAAAACCTTCGGAGCATATGCAAGTTGCGATATGATTCTGTACTCTACATTCGCTATTATAAGAACAAGCGTTGAGACATGGATTTTGACATTTCTGATTGATACAAGCTTCGTTTTCTCCACATTCAGAGTTTGTTGTACACTCTGGTCTACAAGAGGGAGGAGATCCTATCATGTTGGGAAGGCATGAGCATATTGCTTGACCATTAGGACCTTGCTTACATTGCGAATTCAAACCACATTGTGATGGGAAGCACGGATTAACGGGTACGTCGTTTGGTTGTGGTAAAGCTGTACATAAGATTTTATAGAAAATAAGGCAAGGATTGAAATAAAAGTTTATCAAATACAAGTATCGAAGAAGAAAAAAATAGTTTAAAAAAAACTTTTTTAAAAAAGCACGCTTTTATTTCCGATAACAGTGCACTAAAAAGGAGAAAAAAATTTTTTTCTGAGAATTTAAATTTGATACAAAATTTTATGACTAAAAATAAAAGCTTAGGGCGTTCAATTTAATTTCGATTTTCTATAATATATTCACAAACCTTATGCTTGTGTAAACATATATGGATTATTTTTAACTGTCACAAATTCAAGATTTTGGGATATATGCAAAAGCGCCCCACGCTTTTATTTTTAGTCATAAAATTTTTTATCAAATTTAAGTTCTCAGAAAAAAATTATTTTCTCCTTTTTAGTGCACTTTAATCAGAAATAAAAGCGTGCTATTTTAAAAAAGTTTTTTTATACTATTTTATTTTCTACCTTTTAGTCTTATCAAATCTATAAATCGATTCAACTTTCGAAAATTTGGAGTTTTTGTTTTATTACAACACTGACTTTATCAAACTTAATAAGAAGGTTACAGTTTTTAGATTACAGGAAGTTTTAGACTCCACTTCGTTTCACTCCGTTTCGTTCAACTGTTTATAAATTACCAGTTTTTAATAGGCAATTAGTAAAGACTGTCAAAAATTTTCATTCGTTTTAAATTATTTAAGTCATGACTGAAAAGACATGAAACTCTTTTAAAAATTTCCTAACTTCAATTAAAGATTTTGTGTTTATCCGTTCCATTCCTACTACATAACATGTATATTCTTAACATAAAGATGCAATTCACATCTATATGTAACGTATTTATAACGGATTTTTCAAATTTAAATTCAATGGCTGTCATTTATATGATATGCAAAAATACGTCAATCCGTTAATAAATAGAAAAGTCAATTTAATTAAATGTTGGTGAAGTGTTATGATATAATGTAGAACATTAAAAACAGCATAAATATATGCTCAAACTATGTGTGCTAAATGCATATCTCATATTTATAGTTATTTTGCATTAATTCGTAAAGGACTTTTGCTTAACGGTTTTTTTGAAAATTCAAATTTTCACTTACGAATATTCATGAAAAAATTACTTGTCAATTTTTTTGTTTTACCCGAATATCTTTAGCTGCTCAAATTTATGGTATATTTAATAATTAGTAATATTAATTAAACTATAATGAATTATATAAATGTCTTTTGAGCATTTCAAGTATAATATTTTAAACAAATTAAAATTTTATGTCATTGACATTGGATTTTTTCCCATATAAAAAAGTTTTGCTTAAATTGTACAATAATTAAGCAATTTTGTGGTTCCAAAGTGTTAAAATAATGTATTGTCACCGGGAATACGAGTACATTAAAAATTTGAGTTCGATTGGAGCAGTAGATGTGGTTGAAAAATCGATTACAAGATTTGACGCAAATAAACAGAGTGAGTTTTAAGGGCAAATCCATGAATAAACGGTACTGCGAAAATCGACTAAGAATTCTTCTCAACTTGATAAATTCAAAAAACCCGTGAAAAACCAAAGAATGATTAAGTTTAATTTACTTCCTGAATTATTTTACCTATCAAAAACAGTGCTAATTTACATATTTTAGATCTAAGATGGCTAATAATCTAATTTAAGGCTTAAAATGTTAAATTTATTTTGTTTGGAGACTAATTTTAACGAATTTTTCTCTTTCAAATCGTTTTGGATTCATTTGTGTTTTGCAATAAAGAAAAGCTGAATTATTGAAAAAAATATTAAAATTAAGTTTTTCTATCATATTGAGTTTCAAAGCACAAAGTTAATCAAGCCGTTTTTGAGAAATTTGCAAAAGATGTTGTTTTTTGTAGAAAAATTCTTTCGTGGATTTGCCCTTAAATAAAAGCGTGTAATAAAAAAACTCTCTTACGTTCTTCTTTGTAACATCTAACAAATGGATCGCCTTGATATTTATCTTTGCAACTACAAATAGGAGCATGAGATATGACTCGACAATTCGTATTAAGACCACAATTTGCATCAGAACAAGGATCGACACAACGATTGTTTTTACAAGCTTTTGAGAGTTCACATTCAGAACTGCTGACACATTCAGGACGACATGAAGGGGGTGAGCCAGTCATTGTAGGAAGACATGAACAAATTGGCTGTCCATTTGAACCTTGTTTGCATTGAGAGTTGGGCCCACAAGGTGAAGGATTACATGGATTTTGAGACACTGATGTTGTGGCTGCTCGTGAAAAAATATAATTTATTTAGATTTTAAATGTACACAATTTTTAAGAGAATCGCTGTCTTGATCAAGCAGGATTGTTAGTTCGCATGAAGCAAAAGAATGAGAAAAAGTATTCTTACGTTCTTCCTGAATAAGGTAACAATTCGAATATGGGTTTCCAGTGTAACCAGTAATGCAAATACAATTTGCAACATGATTAACAACACGACATTCACTATAAACGCCACAACTTCCAGCGCAAGTGTCTTTGCATTTAGAGTTTACACATGCTAAATGAGAAGGACAATCTGCATTGAGAACACATTCAGGACGACAAGATTCGTATGGATCACCGAAGAAATTATCCTTGCAAATACAAGAACCTACTCCGTTCCTTTCAGTACAATCAGCATTGTAGCCACAAGGATTAGGATGACATGGAGTAACATTTTCATTGTAAACTTCTAATTTATTATACGCAATACATAAAGCAAGAAATATAAATGTTAATAATCATCACATCAAAGCTGTTATCAAATATTGCATAAATGTAAATTTGTTTAGAAAACTGAAAGACATACCTAAAGTTTTCTCGCAACTATAGAATGGATCGCCTTGGTATCCATCAAAACATGTACAAACAGGATTATGATTAACAACAGAACATCTATAAATTGTGAAAGTGAAATGTGAATACAAAATTTACAACAGAAGCTCATTAATTTACTTAGCGTTTAATCCACATGCATTGATGCATGGATCGCCACATTTTTTGTTCATACATGCAAGCAAATTTGGACAATCGGAGTTAACTAGACATTCGGGACGGCAGTTTGGTGGTACTGAGATAAAAAGTAAGTCATAATAATGAAAAAAATTTAAGATGAGATCCAATCGAAAAAACAAAACAAAAAACTCTTACCACCAAGATAACCTTCTAAACATGAACAAGCAGGAGAATCTGAGATTTGCCTGCAAATACTATTAGGGCCA